CTCTAGGTCGCTATTACTTGCCCCGTGATCGCCTCGCGCAACGATCATTAATACTGGGACGCTGCCGTTTCGGATGCGTCAAAGGGGTCGAAACGCCAACCTTTAAACGTCGATAATACTTTAAGGGTGTCGAGCTGTAATAAATTGAGAAATCGAAACGGTGTAATTTGATTGATGTAACGGGAACCCTGTTGGTCCATGTAAAATACAGGGTGATTTATTTGAATTTAAATTTAAATCCTCGACTGACGGTATTTTTGCATAAATAGTTCGATAGTATCTGCATCGATTGATTTGTTAAAAAATATATGATTCTTAAAATTTGAAAGAAGAAACTAGATCTTGGTGTGACCTTTACGCGTCCACTTACAAAATAATGAATTAGATCAAATGGGCCAAGTTATGCAGAAACTTACCCTAAAATAACAAAAAGTTAGTTGAACATATTATGGGTCCCGTAATTTTGTGATTTTTATTTTGCAACAAATGACCACTCCATAGAACAACTTCTACATTATAGCATAGAGAGTTAAAAATAAAATTAAAATTAGCGATAGAAAATTTACAGTAAAATCAATTATATTACTCACTATTATAAGCCAGTAAAAAACGTTGCAAAACAACAACAAGAAATAAAATACACCCAATAGCAATAAAGTTACAGTTTTTTAAAATTAAAATCTTCAAACTAAATTTACTTCATTTTAGAGCATTGCGGGTTGGTAGCTTTCTGCATAACTTGGTCCAAATTATGTCCTTTACGAAACCATTCAATTTTTATCTGAAACATTCTCGGCATCATCAACGGTTTCGGAGATATTCGTGGGAATCGATTTAAATGAGCCACCCTGTATATTTTTTTATGAAGAACCTGTTTAAGGTCGATACTCGATCTTACAACAGATCATCGCTTATTTGAATGTTGATTGTTGAAAACTTTTTATTTAGAATGAAGAGCAAGCTTACTTAAAACATTTTATTCGTGCAGATACAGTAAACTATACCTATATGCAAGATCGGTTACCTGATATGTAACAAATTAATATTAGGTAAATCATTATACTCGTATTGAATTCTAGACTACATCAAATTCAACGTTTAACCCTTAATTAGGGGTTTCTTCAATTTATTTATTTACTTTTATTATTAACAAAGTTTTCATGTTTTAATACTTTTTGGTCTACTTACATTTTAAAAAGGAATTTGGAATCACTGCAGACCCCACGAATACACTTATGATTTTGTCAGTGCGTCTACTTAAGGGTTAATCTTAATAAATACGTAAAGCAATTAACGTTAGAAAACCGTCATTTCCAACCTGAAATCATTTTCTCAGATATCATTCCTATATCTGAATCCCAGAGCCAGCGTGTATTAAGTTCACTTTTTAGAAAAAAACATTTTACATGATTCCTGAATCAAATATTTCACTCCTTCCGATAGTAAAAATTATTTCCTCCTAAGTTTTTAATATAGGTATATAATAGTCTAAAAATGACATTAAGTTCGTATTTTTAAAACAGTGCAAAGTTCATCGCATAGAGAACTTAATGGAAAGTTATCATTTCTACATATAGAGACTTGTCTTAAATCCATTCAACAATTCGAAGGTAGCGATTGTTCCTCTCTCAATTCTTACCGAACGGTTCCAAAGGTACAAGCTTTTTGCACCTTTGATTTACTCTCCTCTAAAGCTTGATAAGTGCGACTTAATACGCTCTGGCTCAGGGGTCAAGGCATATTCCAATCCAGAAATATTCTCAGTGCACCTGGTAAGGGTGTGCACTCAAACAACGTCACCGGGAGCAAAGGCTCGACGACGGCAAATCGCCCAGGGAACAGCTCGTCCAATTCGATTAACCCGAAGTAAAATTGTTTGCACGGTGTCGTGTGACCAAAACGTTCTCTCCACGAACGTTTACGTAGCGAGACAAACCGTTCTCAGGGTGGAGCTGCGTTCTTTCCAACATAAATATACTCCTATCGGAAGATATAGCTTTATTCACCACTCCATGATTAAGGATGCCTGACGTTACACGCTTTAATGTATTACATTCTCTTTTTTTTTCTTTTCTGTTCCTCTCGGTCGTCCCTCTTTACGTTCTCTGCGATAATTAATGTAGATAGAGCCCCGAGTAATGTTGTATTAATCGGAGTGGCCGTAGGACGCCGCCAGTACACTCCAAAGCTTTTCAAACACAGGTTGCGTGACCACCACGTGCACAAGTGCCCGTTCGAATTAGAAATTACCGCTGTTCGCATTCGGTAACGGACGACACAGTTCCAGAGAAGTTTTTTCGTAGGGTGTCAAGTGTTTGCGTACCCGTCCGTTATAGACGGCGGAGCTACTGGTAACTCCGTCGCGAACGGGGGCCGCAACAATAGCCACGTGGCCGTTTTAGAGAAACATTACACCGTCACGCTATTAAACACCGTGTTAAGAGGGCGTGGATTAATTAATAGAATACTCTAGCGTAGTTTTGTGGTTCGTTTCCCAAGTTAGTTCGAGCTGAGAATTTTCTACAGTCGTATTCGAAAGATTGTACGCCTAATTACCCGGATAGCACATGACGCCTTGAAGACGTCTATTTTAGGTTTGAGACGCCTTTAAGTCGTCTTCAAGACGCCATGTGCTACCTGGGTACTAGGGGGTAAAAATAATCTCAACTATTCTAGGTGAAAGTAAAGACATTAAACTTCAAAAAATGCGTTGATTACACTCAAACCATTCAGATGTGTTTAATACTTTGAGTGCACACATCCTAAAAGTTCTTATGTAAAAGTGCATATGGAGGACAAGAAACCCCAAGTAATTTAAAACTCGAAATATCTTTTAAAATATGGACTCTTCCAAAGTGTTTGTAGGAGTGTTTTTTGAAGTACTGTGCTTTTACTTGCAGGTGGAATAGAAATATAATTATAGAAAATATAGTTTAAAGTAATAAAAAAAGGGTTTAAGGTGAATCGAAGTTCAAGCCAAACTTGGGACTGGGGTCTTTTATCCTCCGACGCAGTTGAAGTGTTAATTAAACGACGAATTTAAACAGTTCAAGCCGAGTCTGATCACGGCCTGGCGTTCGAACTGTGACGATCGCTTTCGAACAGTCCGATGATGTTTCAAACTTCAAATCATCTGGTGACGTTGCAAACTTAGACGTTAGATTGCAAATACTTATGAACTGATCATTTACCCGAAGTTGACTACTTTTTGGATTCGTCATCAGGGATTTTAATTTCACCAGATCTTACTAAACTCTCATACTTTATAAATTAATTTCATCAAAATTTAATGTAAAATAGCCTGAACGAATGTACAGAAATTGAAATCCAAGAAGTGTGTCTTCACTCCATTAATAATGCATTCTATAAGATTCCAAATGCAATAAATCTAACCCAATCTTCGTTGAACTTTACTAAACGTTTTACTACGACGATCTTTACCACTTTGACCACCACGTCACCTATATATAGGGGATATAATTTTTGGTTTCCAATTCAAAATTAATCCTTATAGCAAGATACTGCATAAAACAGATTCTGGGAAGGCCTATGAAATTCGATAACGTCCAAAAAATAGCTACCCTGTCAAACCTTGGTTTACAAGTAGCCCCATTATTACAAGAATTCCTATCATTTTGTGGATTTTTCATGGGTGTTCTTCGGCACTCAACACGTTAAACAGTCGTGAATGCTGCAAATGCATAAAATCTGCCATCTGATTATCACTCACCGTTTCTCGAGGAGGACTCCAGCACTGTGGCGAGTTCCGGCCGTGCTGAGAATTTTCTACAGTCGTATTCGAAAGATTGTACGCCTAATTACCCGGATAGCACATGACGCCTTGAAGACGTCTATTTTAGGTTTGAGACGCCTTTAAGTCGTCTTCAAGACGCCATGTGCTACCTGGGTACTAGGGGGTAAAAATAATCTCAACTATTCTAGGTGAAAGTAAAGACATTAAACTTCAAAAAATGCGTTGATTACACTCAAACCATTCAGATGTGTTTAATACTTTGAGTGCACACATCCTAAAAGTTCTTATGTAAAAGTGCATATGGAGGACAAGAAACCCCAAGTAATTTAAAACTCGAAATATCTTTTAAAATATGGACTCTTCCAAAGTGTTTGTAGGAGTGTTTTTTGAAGTACTGTGCTTTTACTTGCAGGTGGAATAGAAATATAATTATAGAAAATATAGTTTAAAGTAATAAAAAAAGGGTTTAAGGTGAATCGAAGTTCAAGCCAAACTTGGGACTGGGGTCTTTTATCCTCCGACGCAGTTGAAGTGTTAATTAAACGACGAATTTAAACAGTTCAAGCCGAGTCTGATCACGGCCTGGCGTTCGAACTGTGACGATCGCTTTCGAACAGTCCGATGATGTTTCAAACTTCAAATCATCTGGTGACGTTGCAAACTTAGACGTTAGATTGCAAATACTTATGAACTGATCATTTACCCGAAGTTGACTACTTTTTGGATTCGTCGTCAGGTATTTTAATTTCACCAGATCTTACTAAACTTTCATACTTTATAAATTAATTTCATCAAAATTTGATGTAGAATAACCTGAACGAATGTACAGAAATTGAAATTCAAGAAATGTGTCTTCACTCCATTAATAATGCATTCTATAAGATTCCAAATGCAATAAACCTAACCCAATCTTCGTTGAACCTTACTAAACGTTTTACTACGACGATCTTTACCACTTTGACCACCACGTCACCTATATGTATATAGGGGATATAATTTTTGGTTTCAAATTCAAAATTAATCGTTATAGCAAGATACTGCATAAAACAGATTCTGGGAAGGCCTATGAAATTCGATAACGTCCAAAAAATAGCTACCCTGTCAAACCTTGGTTTACAAGTAGCCCCATTATTACAAGAATTCCTATCATTTTGTGGATTTTTCATGGGTGTTCTTCGGCACTCAACACGTTAAACAGTCGTGAATGCTGCAAATGCATAAAATCTGCCATCTGATTATCACTCACCGTTTCTCGAGGAGGACTCCAGCACTGTGGCGAGTTCCGGCCGCTGTGACTTCCGGTGGACGATTTCGATAGCGAATGAAGATTCTGAGCAGCGACAGGCGTCACTGGATCGTCTTCTGTCGTTTCGATGTCCACCTCGTCGTCGGAATTGTCGTCGTTGTTGGCCACCGACGTGTCCGGTGGTCGTTCTTGGGTGACCGATTCGACGATCGGCGGCCCACGAATCACAGGACGAAAGGCGGATTGATGCAATGTTGGATTCACTGCCGGTAGCAGTGGTTCGGTGGGACTGGAACCGCTTATGGGCGGTGGTAGTGGTCCTGGAAAGGCAATTAACATTTCTATTCAAATTTTGTGGATATAGGGTGTTCCATTTAGTTCGAATTTCGCAACCAAATACGAAAGAGAATTAATAATGATACATGTCTTCTAAACATATAAAAAATGAAAGAACTGTTATATCAAAATCGACAGCTTTCTTATACAGAGTGTTCCACTTCTAGTGTCAGAAACTTTAAGGGGTGATTCCACCTGTTAAAATAAAACAATAATCAAGAATGACGGAATTGTGGTGTAGGATTCGATTTCGAGTTAGTGATACTTAAAAATTCGGGTTAGAAACGCTTGAAACTAAGCAATTCTAAATGTTGAATGTATAATAATGTATGCAAGAGGAATTAAGAGAAAATTCGGTGGCTATTGTAATTTCAAAGTAAAATACTGTTTACTACAAATTAGTGTTTACTAAATTTCACTTATTTCTTACTACACCATTGGTCATTCAGTATTCAAGAGGATTGAATGTTTCATAATGATATTGATAATAAAATGAACAATTGCATATTTTTTTAAATAGAAATTGCAAATATTCATTTAATATTTGTTCCTGTAACTATTTTTGTTAAATGCCAAAGTTTATTTTCAAAAGGATCGACTGATATTTACATAAATGAAGTTTCACTGGGAATCAATGAAGCACTGAAAGGTACGAACTAGACATGCGTGTATTATTAGTAATCGCGTACAAATATTAACTAACAACATTCGTTGCGAGGCACGGGTAAGCTAATCCCCTAAATAGCCCGTTCATTCATGGTCAAAATGTGTAACCAGTGGCGTTGGTAACTTTTGCGCCGACACGCGAATCAATGGTAACTCGTCCAGCGAGAATTTGCTCTATTATTAGTTAAAATAATCTCCATTGATTAATACTAGCCCCAAAAGTAATTCGAAGTAGTAATATCGATCGATGTGACACGCGAAACGGCAATTCCATCGGATGTTAATAATTATTATCAGAAATCATAGAGCATGATATCGTTGCTGCCTTACTGATTAATAATTTTCAGTGAAATTTTTCACTTGCTTGTTTTCCATTTAATTATACTAATGACCTCGGTTTATCGATGTAATCTCCGCTCGTAACATATGGCATATTTAAAATTCAGTCAGGATTGCCACATTTTTACGATATTCCGCCTAATTACACACGAGTATTAGCTGATTCAGTGGAATGAATGTTTCGGGACTCTCGATGGATATATGGTCGAAATACTAATTATTGGTACTGATAGCACTGGTACATAATTATTGATTTATTGGTAAACATAACAAAGACAAAGGCACAGTTTGTTTAGCGAGGAATGACAAGAAGATTCTTGGAAGTACTTAGGTACGTGTTTTAATTTACACTGAAAAGGCCGAGCTCTGTTAATAACATTCATTCACAAAGACATAGTTAGCTGTATCTATTAGTAAAACCGGCCACTTCATACCTGATGGTAGGAAAATTATTACATTCAGGTAGAACTATGGATTCCACAAACTTCAAAGTTCGACACTAATAAATATAAGAAAAAACTAATACCACGAGAAGCACAAGCAGCCTTCCTATATCTTCATCAATGAATATTTTCACCGGGGAAGATTAATAGCTACAATACACCACAGATTCACACGAAGAGATGTCCAACAACTCACCAGGAAAAACTAGGGACAACAGCACACCACAGATCACACCAATGGACGTCCAAGAACTCACCGGGGAAGAATAATAGCTACAATACACCACAGATTCACACCAAGAGATATCCAAGAACTCACCAGGGAAAACTGAGAGCAACAGCACCCCACAGATCACACCAATGGACATCCAAGAACTGACCGAGGAAAATTAATAGCTACAATACACCACAGATTAACATTAATGGACACCCAAGAACTCATCTGGGAAGATCAAGAGCTACAATACACCACAGATTCACACCAATGGACGTCCAAGAACTCACCGGGGAAGATTAATATCTACAATACACCACAGATTGACACTAATGGACACCCAAGAACTCATCTGGGAAGATCAAGAGCTACAATACACCACAGATTCACACCAGGAGATATCCAAGAACTCACCAGGGAGAACTGAGAGCAACAGCACCCCACAGATCACACCAATGGACGTCCAAGAACTCACCGGGGAACAGCACAGGACCTCTCTTGGCCAGCCAAGGCAGGGCGTAAGGTGGGAACGGGAAACCAGGTGTCTTAGCGGCTGCGACAGCGGCAGCCTGTTGATGCTGATGCCACACGTAGTCCATGACTAGGCTTCTGGACAACGGTAGAGGCAGCTCGGGGAATGGCGGGACCCTTGGATGCGTCGGCGACGGGCCAAGGGCTGGTATCTGACCGGTGGGCGATGATCTCGGTTGTTTCGCTGGGCTGGGCGACTCTCTCGAACTCGGATTGTTGAGTAATCGCTTTCTGGTCCCGCCGTTGAACATCGCTTTGACGTCCTCCCAGGCATGGACCACCTCGTCCGGCGGGCTACCAGAGAGCTTCATGTGACGTCGCCAGGAATTGAAGTTCGCAGCGTCCGGCTGGACGTATTTGTCCGACGGGCCGATACGGTGGGAGTGGAAAATGAATTTGTTCGGGGAGAAGAAGAGGCCACAGTAGGCGCATTTGATGCACTTCGCTCGGGAGCTGTTGTAACGGGCTGGAAGGAACGCGCCGCTGCAGCCCCAAGCGCATTCGTGGTGGACGGAGAAGGCGAAGTCCTCGGGCAGTCTTTAAGAAAATAATAGTTGTTGGTAGAGTGTGACCAGAGTCCAATGTTTGCAATGTAGTAGACTGAACAGATGACGATATTTAGTCTTGGAAAGAATATACAGAGTGATAAAGAAGGGTTGGTATATTTTGGGCAAGGA